TTCGTTGTATAGAAGTTGTTTGACCTTGTTTTTGCAACTTGGTCATATTGGTAGGAAGATTTAGAGGAACTTACCTTATCCGGAGTCCATTGTATGCATAATAATTTTCAAAGTCGGACCGTATAAGTGGTACATTCTCAGACGTTTCGCCGACATCGGAGTCGGCATCGTCAGTGAGTCTTGCCATTCGTAGCACCATATTACAACTCGTCAAAGAGACAAGTGAAGCCGATGCTTTGACCAAATGTGTGCTAAACAGTGATGGTATCTCCTCTTCTGGTCTGGCCTATTCACAGTTCCTATATCCTCCTATCAAGCATTCACTGTCATAATTTTTTTACTTGCTCAATTAAATGTGGTACGTTGTGCCCTTTTGAGCGGCTTTCATAAGAACCCTCCGCACTCCACGATGGCCTTCTCACCCCCCTTCATCCTTGTGCTGGTAATGTGGATCAGAGTCTGCCATATTGTTATGTAGTCCTCCTTCCCTAGGTCTTATCACAACACTGAATAAAAGGAATGAGAGCAGGAAATGAATTTAATACTACTTGTTGCTGTTTTGTATGAGAGAGAGAGAGAAGACGATAATGACCACCGAGCAGGAGGAAGAGGCTTAATTAGCCTCGAATATGGTTTTCACTCTTACATAACACATAATTCAAGAGCAATGAATGCAATCAGCATACATTCAATAGAACGTAATCACACGCGTCAACAACGAAGGATTAAATATATAAGTGATGTGGAGGAGAAATCAAATGTTTTGTCAAAAATGCATTCTTTTCACGTTTCATCTATAGTCACTTCACTTTCAGAACACATTTAAGGAATTTATAGAAAACCCAACTAACTCAAAAGACGTTTCATTAAGCCAACAAAATTAAACTATAAGAATAAGGTATGATTGCAGTCGACCATCTTTCTTGTCTTCGTATTTCGGAAAATTATCGAATACAATCTTTCTACAGCTTCCGGGGAGGCCAACTTGTGAATTCATTCCACTTATTGAAGAGAAATAAAAGGAACTCTAACATCAATATTGTATGGGATTTTTATAAACCCAGTTTTTCTAAATATCTGAAAGTTGAATATTTCCCGCAATGATATGAGTAGTCTTGCTTTTCAAAAGTTCTGCATATCCAGACAGGAGTGGACTGCAACTTCGACCTCACCTACTTCTCATTAACACCCCTATCAGGACTGGAGCTCAGGTTGTGGTAGTACAGCGTATAATTTTGACATGTTTAGAACTACGCCACACTTTCACAGATGAACTTGGGTAAGTAATGCAATCGACTGCTATAGCAAATACAACTTTGCTTCATTTATAGCTCCACTATAGAATGTGATATTGCAATGAGCTTGGCCTTCCTTGAAATTTACATCTGCCCTGTGACTCAGGGGAACAGTTGTGGCAATGTGGGATGTATGTTAACACATCAAGATTATACGCCTCACTGCCAAATTTTGAGATTCCTTGCGAGTGATGGTGAGACATAAGCCAGGTCGAAACAGTACTTAACTCCTGCTTGGATAAGAATACCTGTTGGGAAGCAAAACAATGCGAAATTTAATGTAAACTTAAAGCCTACTCATATCATTATGAGAAAATCTTAACTGCAATCCTTCGCAAACTTAACGAAAGTAGCTGAAAACACTTTATATATATTATAAACTGGTTGTCTCAAAAACCTATTTATAAATGAAGAATGAAGGTAGATCAGCTTCATTTTTATTTCTTCCGCTATGGCTTAAAAATCTATTCAATCAAGTAATTAATCCAAGCCTCTTAAATTATGACGCTAATTTATTCATTTGGGATAATTTTCCTGGTTTTCTCTTTACTAATATGCTTAAAGCCTAATCTTATTTAACACTTTCCCTTGGCAGTCTTCTACGAATGCATCTACTTTTTGAACAAATGTATAAAATTTCTTCTTTATTCAATACCCCACCTTAACAACTCATTTGCCTCTTATTCTGCTAAACTCTTGATGTTATGCCCGGGACTATTCATTTCTTCGGGTCCCAGCACCGAGATTACCACTCGAGAGATGCAGATAAAGGAGCTGAAATATCTGACTAAGCAACAGGCGCAGCGGTTGGACGCAGAAAAGAATGCTAATGATTACTTAACACGCCTGCTCAGTGATATCTCCGTGTTTCTGCTCGATTACAAAGTTGTGAGCCCTATTTTTTTGTGTCTATGAGTTATGTATTTCACTAAAGTTGTTGATTCGAATTTTCATTATGGCTACTTTCGGTCTTGCTGGCTATATGAACCAAGGCTACAAAAATTTTCATTTTTAACTTAGAGTTCTACAGTGAAATTCTTTATAACTAATTCCGAAAATATTCGCAGTTTCAGAAATGCTGATTGACCTCAAGTAGGAAAGAACTAAACTTATTTGTGACAACCATAGGAAGAAAAAA